GCACACATTGCAGATGAGGCAGGAAGATACATCAACCAAACAGTAGATAGAGAGAAAATGCCACTACTGTCAGGAAAAACAAATAGAAGATGAAAGCCATTTTCTATTAAAATGTTCTCTTTATGCTGATTTAAGAAACAAGTTCCTCCATACCACAAAGGTCATTACAACAATTGACAAATCTGATATTGAAAACACTGTAGACATTCTAAAAACAAAAGATAAACAATCACTAATTCATTTGGCAAAATATATCTTTGAGTGCTTCAATTTAAGAAATGACACTCATAAACAAAAAATACCAGCTGCTTTATAATTAATATAATTTATTAAGATATATTCAACTAAAAGACTACACAATGGAAAATTATTTACAAAACAATTTCCAAAAACTGTCTAATAATTCAAAAATACTAGAACACGCCCAATAATATCGTATCTGCGGGCAGTATTTGACGGAGGAATTTCAAGTTTGTTGAAGGTGCTGAAGGCTACTCACTGTGCCAAAATTATTTTAATGGGTGTGTATATTTTAGTATACTCACAAAAATACTCATCAAATATCAGTAATAGAATTTATTATATAACCTGGGCAGAAGAAATCATTACTTATCCTTGCCAAAATTATGCATTTTTCCTATTCCTGTAACATCATGCGGGACTCCTGCGGGAACTGGCTGATTTTGCAATATTAGATTCTCCATGGGGTTGCTTGGCTTTTTTGCAAATATTGTAGTCACTGACCTTTATTTTGTATTAACATTTTTATGTATACCATAGAGTCCGTATATAATATAGATTTGACTATGTTGTGTGGTTTGTTCTTGTGACTTTTGCACAAAAATCAACAACGGTTTTTATAGGTATGTTATTCCGTCTTTGCGGTATATCGTATACAGTGTATAATTGTGAAAATCGACCTTTAAAGTGCACTCTATATTCTGGAATTGTAAATTTTTTTCGATTGGCATATCAAACTCCTTTTTCGGAACAAAACGTGTTTTATATTCACCAAAAAAACGAACAACTTGAAACAAAAAACAACGTTGTCTAGACACATAACTGACCCGAAACAAAGGAAACCGTCCGATCCAAACGACCTGCGTCCTTGAAAACTGTTGAAAATCGAGTCGAGAAAATCGCCCCGCGTTTCCGAGCGAAAACACGTCGAGGCCAAAAACGAATGATTTTCACCGAATTTTGTATGATTTTGCGGTTTAGATAGGTTATTTATTAGAGACGCCCGGGGAACCAAAATTTGGAATGGAAACTCCGGCGACGACTCGGAAAAATAAGTGATAGTAGCCAATGGGGCGCATTTCAAAAACTTATTTTATTTGTAGGGTATATAATAAAGGAAACCGAAAACCGACGTGGTCATCACGTGCTACTGAGTATCAAGGGTCAAACGCAGGTTGCCAGAGGCAGTGTACTATATTTGTAATTGTAGGCGAAAGTCATTATCAAAAGGAATCACGACACTGACGGCTTTTTTTGGATTCGAAGGCTGCTCGGTTTGAGAGGTAAGTCGTAACACAGTCATGGGCTGTTTATGCTCGTTTCGTAAACTGCTTGGTGCGTACAATTATTCTGTATGAGCGATCACTCTAGATAGTGTCCGCTGAGTGTGTACACCACTACTGAATGTGTACACCTAATAGGTTTCCATGTTGACAGCGCAGTCACTTCACTATTCATTGGTCGATCGTCTGTGTTCTGTGTGGTGCTTTTGTTAGCTGCAGCTCTGTGGCTCTCTTGGTTTCGCTGTAGTTCGCTGGTTTGTTGTCACGGGTCTTGTCATCAGTACGGGTTATTTTGTGCGCCCCGAGGTGATTGTGAAACATGGGGACTCCCTACATTGGCTACAGTAAAACCATGGAGGTAAAAAGATGAGTAAAACCAAGACATCGTGAGAACAACATGTTTGTTGCCGTCGAAACGTACCACGTGACAAATGAGTATGACAGATTTAAAAATAATCCCTTCTAGCAAGTCTCATAAAATCCGGACATTAAATACTTTAAATGCCGTACGTTTTGCAAGAAATAAAGTGTAAACTGGGTCACGCTGGCAAAATTTCAATAAATACGCTAAAACACTCATTTCAATTTTATATCTCGCTTTTATGCCGAGAAAATGATATTTCTAGATAGAACATTGTCCAACTCGAACGTAAATACTAAAATAGATTAAACGTCGTTCCACAGTCCCTCTGTTGGTCATTCAAATGACCTACTATTCGCCATTGTTGTTCATTTCAGCCCATACATTCTCTTGAAGTGTCCGCTTCATGTTACAATAGTCAATATTAGCTGTAACGATGACGATATCCGCACATAGTGTAAATAATCACGTGAATGTCAGAATACAACATGTCAGTGTTGACATTCCAGTTTGACCTCCATTTATTCCATGGGTGTGAATTATTGAGTATATAAACAACATCAAGAAACAGAATCTTTTAAATCTGTACATCGTCGAATCACGTGTCTATTAGTCAACCACGGTATAATGTATTTTGTATTTCTTGATTTTTATGTTAACTAATGAACACCAAATATATATATGTATGTATTAAAATAATATTCATAATTCCTATTTTTTTTTGTATTTTAGTGGGTGTACATGTATGCATTAAAATATGGTTAGATAAAAATCTGTTAGTTCTTAAAGGCCACTGGCCCATTTCACAAAATACACAGAAAAATAAATACATAACTAATTCTTTCCTGAGGTCAAAAGTCACCTCATGTTAATACATTCTTGTCTCAGAATTTGTGCTTTATGTACAAACATTGCTAGTTTTGGGATTATTTGGTCAGATTTATTTGACATAATGGAATAAAATTTTTCTAATATTGGATACGGTAAGTATATTACCATGAGGGTAATCATTTTTTTTCTAATGTTTTCATACATAGGGCATTTTAAAACGAAGTCGGATTCATCCTCTATTTCAAGGGATTTATATATTTTACATATTCTCTTTTCTACCTCCAGTCGCACAAATCTACCCTGTTCTATTTCTAGCCTATTCATAATTATTCATATTTCTTTGCACTCAAACTATGAAAAGCCAATTTATATATTTTATGTTTCTTTTATAGTCTATATTTTTTAATTTATTTAATCATTTAACATTTGGAATGGATGATAACGGATACAATACACATAAAAAAAACAGAAAGTGATATGACAAAGCGCATACACATACACAGAAAAAACAACAATTAAAAATGAAAATGGAAGAAAATCCAAGAAATTTGAAGGTCATTAGGTGACATCCATGCCAAGGAATCCTTGGGGTTGCTGTCTTCATTCAAAACAGATTCGCAAATATTGGCTTTAAGGAATTGACAGGGATTTATTGCTCAAAATAAATCTGAATTTGTCGTCATGGTTTCTGTTATTGAAATTTGGGAATATTTTTCTCGCTTTTGTAAATAGAATGGGTCTGTGTTGGGCATAGACAGGGCAAGACATCACAAAATCTTGCTCATCTTCGATCTGATTTGTGTTACAGAGAAGACATAACCTTCATAAACGGATTTAGGGGGAGGCATGCCACCCCACCCCCCCTTCAGCCTTTCAAACCCAGTCCATGTCAATAGGACTGCCCCCCTACCGAATTTCTGGATTCGCCAGTGACCTTTCATTTGCTTGTCTGCATATAATTCTTAACGTAATATTATTCTTTTCTTGGACCAGTATCACATGGGGTCTGTGGCCTAGAGTGCTGTATTCAAACAGTTACACCATTATTACTACACCATTACTCCAACAACCATTGGTCCAAGAAAACAAAATTAGAGGTGGACGAAATTTTGAAGACTGAAAACAGCACAATTCTGTGAGCAATCCAAATCTTAGAATAAATAGGTAGTTAAAATTTCATAGTAGATGAAGTTTGAAAGTTTTTATTGCAATTAAGCAACTTTCCTCAAATATGCCCCCTTCCCTTCTGGTGATGAACTACCGGTATTGACATTTTACTTCAGATAATGTTATCGGAATCCTACTCCCATGTAATGTAATAAATTTCATACTAAACACTCAAAATGTGATTTCAGAGATAATTATTCCAGCTAAAATAAAGTATTTTACAGTATTTTATTATCTCAGACTTAGTATCCTCATCATACATCGAGAGAAATATAACTACATAATTTCTAAATATTTTTCTTTGTATTAATATTAGTTGTTTGTGTTTCCTCTGTATTGCTATAAACTAATAGAAACATTGTATTTTTAAGGATGCAATAAAGTTATCATTATCATTATTAGTAATTCCAGAATGTCGTATCCCAGACAACAAGGCGGTCCAGTGGCAGTACCCTCTCAACCACCGCCGCCCCCAGAACTGACTGGACCCTTTGCACCAAAAGGAGGGGAAGCAGCAACAGCTGGTAACTCAGCAAGAACTGCAGAAGCAAACAAGTACAGCAAAATTGCTAAATTTGTGAATGCGTTACCAGTAATGCACCAATGTTGGGCCTGGACATGTTTTATTTTAAACTGTATTATACCCGGCATAGGTGAGTCCACATTAAAAGGCGGCAGTCGTTGCACTGCGCATGTGCAACATTTGTGTTGATAAACATTGATTTATCCACGATCCACAAATATGAAATCACAAGTATGAGATTTGACCTGGGAGCGACTTGCACTAATGACCACCAGTGACTCATTCAATACCTTCCAGTCACTTAAAAAATACTTAATTAAAGCTTGGTAACATCTCAGTTTGTACTCGTTGATCTGCGCAAAGTCACCATCTTTGTTTATATGAGACCCATATATCTCATGCGCCACAAACTACCACCCTTTAAATAGGGAGAGCAGTGTTACACTGGCCAGGAACATGACTCATTTTTAAAACTATGCATACTTATTCCTTCACCAGGAACACTGTTGGCAGCTTTGATCGTGCTAACATGTTGTGCGAAACATGACGGCATTGGCGATAGATGTCGGGTTAGTTGTATACAGTTCTGGTCTGGTATTGGCATGCTTGTAACATCTCCACTCATTATTGGATTTATATGGGCTGCTTGGTGGGGCTGGATGTATGTACCTATTTCATTATGTAAGTATTATTATATTTTAAAGATTTGTATTAAAAATGAAATATAGAAAAAAAAAACATTTTTACCTTGTCTGTATTATTGTAGACATACAAGTTCAAATTATATGAGGGGAAAAATGTCTGTCCTTGTCGTCGTCATCGTTATGAAGTCTTTTCTAGTGGTTACTATAACTCAAACAGTTTTTATCCAATTTTTCATTTGGGAATCTTATAAATCGCTTTAAAATGTCAACCAAATTCAATTTTGGTGTAACTAGAAAAGACAATTTTAAAATTTGTAAAATTTGGCTGGAATAAAACATTTTTTTGGTGTAGAAAAACAGGACAACATTTATACTGCTGATAATGACATTACCCACCTCAAACATAACTAGTAGATAAAACATTATTCAAATGAGCTCCTCGCCATTGTTGTTCTTTTCTATCCACACAGTCTCTTGTAGTTTCCACTTTGTTACAATAGTCAATATTAGCTGTAACGATGAAGATATCTGCACACAGAGTAAATAGTTATGTAGGATATCAGAATACAACATGGAGGTGTCAAAATCCTAGTTTGTATGGGATGGTGGGTATTGGCTGGTCTAGCCAGATTTGTGTAATATGCTCTCCAAGATCCGTCTATTGGATAAGTGTTATTTTCATATATAATTCATAAAAATAAAAAGTAATACACAGTGTTTCTGCCATTTTAAAATCTGATTAGTATTTTAGTTGGTTTATATATATTATTACACTATTACTTTGGAGAATTTCATACAATCTATATTATATTTTTAATAATTTTCTTGTCAAATTTTGTTTAGATATGTTGCTGTACTATTATATTTTCGAAATTTTTATAAAACTGTTAAATTATTCTATAAGAGACATTGAGATTAATACAGTAAATTTACTGCTGATTGAGGAACACATTGGCTAGTATTTTCTTTTTTGTCAAATGTTACCTAGATATGTTTATACAAGTCTTTTGAAATCTTGGTTCAGAGATTTTACACTATATTGCAGTGTTAGCACTTATAAGCATAAAAGCCTAAAACAGACAGGAAGTGTGGGGGGGGGGGGAGCAGAGAAGGTGGATGAAGGGCCAGTCTGGTTTACTATACGAGTGTTTCAGTATTTCAGTGATTTTACACAATACAGAGACATTGTTATTATCACCATTACCCTGCTCCGGGCATGCATGAGTTCTATGAAGCTGTACATGCTTTCAATTATTGTACCTGGTTCAAGGGGCGGGCCAAAGCTAAACACAAACAACAATTCCCGTGTGCACTATGATGGTGACCATAACAGAGAAATGGCACTGGCAAGATAAACCTATTGATTTTGATTCACACCATCACATACAAAACTTGAAGTTTACAATATTTATTTTTTTTTCCTTTCAGTGAGGTACCATGGATCTTTCAAAACTCCACATGACCAACAAGATGACGCTTTTGTTGTTGTGACTGATGAGAAAAAGTGATGTGTTCCATCGATGATTGTAGCTGTTTGTAAAAAAAAAGAGAACCATGTTCATATGTAAATGACTGTACCAAGAGGAAATACTGACAAGAACTATCATAGACGTGTCACTTGGTTTCGTGTATTTTATTACTGCTATACATCGTTGTTCATTATGTTTATACTTTTTTTTTAACCATTACATAACCTGATTAAAAATATATTTGTATTTACTGTTTCATTAATTATCATTAGTATTTATCTCTGAAAAAGCTGAAGTATGCCAGCTTTCTGACATGGAAAATTCAATGCATTGAACACAAGTTCCTTTACAGATTTCGTGAACACTATTAATCCCTGTAATTGTGTAGCATTAGAAATATAGAATTAGTGATATAAATCTGTCTGTCCAGGATCACATCTCGGCAACAGATTCCTCAACAATCTTTCTTTCTGTGTACTATCATGTTTGCCGAATATTATCTGAGATGCAGACACCATTCCCTCAGGATCAGGCCTGGGCATCTTTTGAGCATATGAACGAATTTGTGATGAGTTTGGAGTTTCCCCAAGCACCAACATGGGTTAGGAGATGCATACATGTTTCATGCCCATATTGGGCATGGGTCTGTGGGTGAGTAGTGTCCAAGGATGTCGTTCACAAAGTAAACATCAAACACCACACTGCACTGCATGTGGGTTTCCTTACTCAGGATGCTAATCCTGTAATATCTTTATCAATGACCACTCAGAAGAGTTCACACAGTCTGACAGTATTTGGACATATGTCTGGGCACTGACACCGCTTTCAATGCCCAAAAGCAGTTTCTTATCAACGTGGAAGATGCCATACATGCCCCTGGAGAAGTCTCAACAGATATCAAACAATACTAAGATGTCCTACAGTATGCCGGCTCCAAAGTGTCCCGGGTTCAGGCTATATATGGCTGCAA